CAGAAAACTGGAAGTGGCACTGTAGCTCAAGTGGTAGAGCGCTCGCCTTGAGCTGAAGAGCTGAGGGACAGTGCCCAGGCCCAGAGTTCAGGCCCATGACCGGACCCAAAAAAAAAAAAAGACTAGCTTTCTGCTGGGCACAGTGGGGCACACCTGTAATTCCTGCACTCTGGTTAGTGAGGCAGCAGCACCAAGAGTTTGAGAGCACCCTGGGCTATGAAGTGAGATCCTGTGTTAGAAAGGAAAAACAAACCAAAAACAACCCTCCCCTCTCTTGGGGGAGGGTCTCACAGTTCAGTGGAACATCTTGTAAGTCCAGAATAAACAACCTGCTCCCCCTCCTCCCCCCCCTCCAGGTAATTACAGGGAGCGATTCTTATGCTGAAGCAGTAAGCTAGGCATTCTGTCCAGATTCTTCTTTTATTCTTACAAATGATGCCTGGGAGGCCATATCATTCCTCTCCTGGGTGTGGGCTGGGCTCTGGCTTTCTGTTTGGAGAGCGGGCCTCTGCGTGTACTGCAGAGCCAGATCAAGTCCTTGTTCAAATCTGCCCTTCTATGCAGGTTTAACAAAAGAGGGAACAGTCCCCAAAGTTGATGTCCTGTTTCCCGGCTCAGGAGTATTCCAGGAAGCTCCCTGGTGCTTCGGAGCCTGGGGTTCTGTGAGCCGCTGGGGTCCCCGTGTGGTCCCAGCCGGCAGTGCATGTGGCTTGTGTGGTTTTGCCCTTCCGGCGGTGGGGCTGGGGAGTTAGTTGTGTTTGTAACTTGCCTCCTTCTCTCTCCAGGCCCTGGAGTCGAAGCTGGCGTCCTGTCGGAACTTTATGTACGATCAGTCCCCAAACCGGACGAGTGGCCCAGCCTCGGGGCGGGGGAGCAAGAGCAGAGACAGCGGTGACCGGCGGCCCAGTAGCGCCAGTGTACCTTTGGGGGAGAAAGGGTCAGTACCTTTCCTTGCTCTCCTTCGGGGACCCCCTGGCTGGCCCCATTCATCCACCATCTGGTTTGTTGGTGGTGCCCATGCTGGGGCTTGAACTTGTGACCTGGGCACTCTGGCTTTGCTTTTTTTGCTCAAGGCTGGCACTCTATTACTTGAGCCACAGCTTCACTAATGACCTTTTGGTGGTGAATTGGAGATGAGTCACGTGGACTCTCCTGTTTGGGCTGGCTTTGAACTGAGATCTGAGACTCTCAGATCTTCGCCTTCTGAGTAGCTATGCTTATAGGTGTGGGTCCGGTGCCCGGCTTCATCATCAGTTTGTGACATAAATCTATAGGTGTGCCTTCCCCTTAGCCGCTGCTCCCTCCGCCTGAGATAGAGTTAGGCTTCATTGGCTTTGAACCTTGAATCGTCTGATTTCAGCCTCCTTGAACAGCTAGGATGACAGGCGTGAGCCACCAGTGCCCTGCTTGGCTTTGGCTAGGCCAGGGTTTCACTGTTTGACCTTGGGGATGTGACCTTGGAGAACCCAATGGCCAGTCTCTTCCTTCCTTCCACAGGAGAGAAAATTGAGGCCTGGGAGACCCAGCTCCCAACTTTCAGTGTTCCGACCCCGTGGGCGCTGGTGGCTTGTCACTCCTGGCTTAGCCTGTCCCCTAAATGTGGTTTGCTCTGTCTGAAGGTTGGGGAAACGCCTGGAATTCGGGAAGCCGCCCTCCAGCCCATCACCTGCGCTGCCGTCCGCCCAGGGTGTGGTCAAGCTGTTGCTTTAGGACCAGGGAGCCGGAGCCCCATCTGTCTGCCTGCCTGTCTGTCTGTCTGTCTTGCGTTTGACACCTCCCGCCCTGTCCACTCACCTTCCTGCCTGTCAGCTTTTTTACTTCCTTCCTAGAGAACTAAGAGCCATTGCTCCCTAGCTCGCCCTGTGCTGTGTGGCCCAAGTCCGTCACTGCGGGCATCAGTTGTGGCCCTGGTTTTGTCCCTGTGAACAATGTCACCATCCCTACTTGCTGTCTGCCAGGCCCCAGGGAAGGTTCCAGGGCATAGGTAGCCACCCCATCATGGGCCCCCGAGTCTAAGGTCCCCCATTTCCTGCAGAGGGACGTGTGCTTCACATCCCCCACCCCCTTTTCCTCTCCCAGGCTCCACCCAGAGGGATCTGCCTTCCAGAACAAACCAGCCCCCCATGGGGTGTCGTGGCCCGTATAGGAGTGCGGTGCGAAGGAGGCTTGGTCGGTGTGGGCTCTCTTTGAACGCTCCTGCACCTCTGGTACTTGAGAATCTGCCTCTCACGAGGTTTGTGGACGCATGCTTGACCGTGGTACCCAGGCCCATGGGGACTCTGCACTCGGCCACCCTGGCTGTCCCAAGTGGAAGGGCAGCGTGGCAGCAGGACTCAGCCGGGCAGGTGACGCGCCGGCCCAAGATCCCTTGCCCTGGGCCTGCTGGCTCTGCGGCCCCGGGCTCGGGAGCCATGCCAGCGCCCTGCCCTCCCCAGCCTTGGGACACATACATGTCACAGCACATGCGCGCTGTCACCCCCCTGGCCCTGGGACGCACTTGCGTGTCACCCACACTGCTCGCATCGTTTACCGGACAGGTGAGGCCACCTTGCGTCGGGGCCGGGACCCCTCAAGGCTGCTGACGCTCCTCACGAGGATGTTTGTCCCCTAAAATGTGCGAACCCTTGTTGGCACAAAGGTGGACTTCTTTTTTTAAGGAACAATAAAATGAAGAGAAACTTGTGCTCAGCCGCTTTGTGGTGTGGTCAGGGGATGCTCAGGCCGCCGCTCGCAAGTGGGAAATGGGGTCTTCAAGATGTGGATGTGGAAATCAGAAATGGGCTTTTTTAAGAGGCCTCTGCGGGTGCGCGTGTCACCCCAGGTCTGGGCCCTGGGTGGTGCTGTGGCGTCTTTTGTCTGTGTGGTTGGTTGCTGTTTTCTCGTCCGTCCTGGGCAGGGCTGGCCTGAGGGATCGTGTGTGCAATGGAAACTTCCTGACGCATGTCTGTCCAGACGCTTGTGCTAGGCGGCGAGGGCCTCGGCCTGTCTTTTAGGACCCCGGCGCTAAGAATGGCTATTCAGGGGGAGTGTGGGTAGGGCCTCCCTGTGAAGTCCAGACTGACCTCATACTTGTGATCCTCCTCCTCCTTCCCAAGTGCAGGGATTGCAGGTATCTGCCACCATGCGCTTGCTCTTATGTTTTTAAGTGCTGTTGCTTTTTTTTTTTTTTTTCTTTGATAGTGAATGTAACAAACCAGATGTAACCTGCCAATGTGAAATGTTGACTGTCTGGCTTTTACAGAAGCTGTTTGCTGATTCGTTGTTTTAAATGAAATATCAAATCTAGATAGCACAACAAGGAAGTGTTCTGGACAAGGTTGAGACCAGGGCAGCTGAAGACTTGGGGGGTTTGGGGTGACGATGAACTGTTTGCGTGTACAGAATGAGGTACCCAAGTGGAAACACAAATCCACTTGTTTGTTATCCACAGAGCCTGACGTTTGGACAGTGACGTGTCACCTGAGGGCGCGGGGTTTTCCGCTAGTGGAGGTGGCGGTGTTCAGAAGGGGCTGGGTCTGGCCTGATGTCCTCAGTCACATTCAAGGGCTTGGGTGAGCGCCCCGGCCACTGGCAGCCAGGGCAGCCCTCAGGCAGTCATGCTGCTTCATGCCCCTCCTTTTGAGGGGGAGACAGTACTGGGGGTGCTAAATTGGGGTTCAACCATGTAAACCATACCTCCAGCTCCTTTTTACATTGATTGGTACCCATAATAGGGTCTGAATTTGGGGCTCTGAGCAGACACAATGTGTTTTTGAGTGATACTTTACCGCTTGAATCATGCCTCCAGCCCAGCTTTTTGCTGTTTCGTTGGAAATGGAGTCTCATGGGCTTTTCCGCTCAGGTTGGCTTCAAACCTTGATCCTCCTGAGAGCTCCCTGAGTAGCTAGGTTCACAGCTGTGAGCCACCGGTGCCCGGCTTGGTTATTTTCAGGGTTGTAGTTTGGCTGTATGCCAGGGCTAGCCTGGGCTCTGACTCTCCTACTTGTGATTTCCTGAACCACTGAGGATGACAGGCTGACGCCACTGTGCCCAGCTGTCACACATCTTCCTCCTGTTGCTGGGATAACAGGCGTGCACCACCACACCCGGCCACTGACTGAGATGGGGTTTTGTGAACTTTTACGCCTGGGCTGGCCCAGCCTTCCCTGCGTGGCTGGGGTCACAGGTTTGAGCCGCTGCTTTTTCTTCTTGCTTGGGCTGTCTAGGGACGGAGCCCAGAGCCTCACACAGGTCAGGGGAGTGCCACCAGGCTGAGCCACGCCCAGCCTCAGCCCCTCCCTCCACCGGATCGCCTCCCAGCTGACCAGATAGCCCTGACTTCCTGTTATTGCTGGGGTTCACCGGGGGTGTCGTCCTCCCCCACCCCCCGTGCTTTGCTCTGCAGAAAAGGGCTGGACAGAAGAATCACATCACCTTTCTGGTGACTTAGAACCTTTTATTAGTGCACGTGTCGGCAAGTACAATCCGGATGCAAGCAAGACAGTGTGGCATCTCTGCTTGAGCCCTGGGCTTCCCGCGTTAATTCCTGAGACTACAGGAGGCGCTTGCTGTGTGGTCTGAGGCGTGACAGGCAGGGCAGGGGAAGAAAAATTCCTAAGCAAGGGTCTTTCTGGAGAGGTTGGGGGGTCCACAGGGAGGAAACGAGTTGGGGCCGTGAGAGGGCAGTGATGCCCATTTGGTAACCCCCCAATTCATGGAAACCCAGCGCCGGTGACTGGTTATCACCTGTGTTTTGCCCAAAACTGGCCATCAGGGCACGCGCCACCGCCAGTGGGAGGCCGGGCCGCGTCTCCCGATGGACTTCTAAACCCAGGATGGACACCCGCCGGCGGGGGCGGCGCCGGCGTGGTCGTGGTGAGGGGTGCGGGGGCCATCTGCAAGTCGAGGACGGACCAGAGTCTGCGGGGCCTGGCGGGCTCACTCGCTGGATTTCATGCCGTTGAAGTCTCCATCCCTGGACTCTGTTTCTTCCTCGGAACCATCCGCATTCTCGATAACCCTGCGGCCTCCGGACCTTCTGGAAGGGATGAACGCCGTCTCGTTTCCTCTCCTGTGGGTTGGAGGCAGAAGAGGCGCCCAGCTTTAGCCCCCTCTTTCCAGCTTGGGTAGATTGTTTTACAAGAAGCAGAGACGTCCAGACCAAATGCCAACAGTCAGCAGAGAAGAGTCCGGCCCAGGGTGAGAAACCCTGGCAGAGCTTAAGGTATGGGGGTGCGCCGTGTCTAATCAGGGCCATTGTCTGCTTTCCAAACTGTCTGGCTTGGTCATCTGATGCTCGGGACCCTAGTTCCTGCAATCTGGGATTGGAATAGAAGGGCAGGTGATGGCTAAGTCTCCTATCTTTTGGGGGGGGTAATAGAACAACCTGCTGTGCTGTAGCACCCCCTCCCCCCTTTAGAAGGCAAAGGGGACAGGGCTAAGCTTTCAGCTGATTTGAAAGTTCACAGCCAGAGCAGTGTGATGAGATGGGTGGTAGACACGGGAGGGGCGCCCCCTACCCGTGCGAAGCTTCCCTCTCCAGATCCCCCAAAGGTGGGGATTGTGTCTGGATGGCTTGTGTTCTCGGCGCACCACGGATGTGTCACACATGGCATAAAGTAGGAGCTCAGTGAACGTGTTTTGGTTAGCTACATAAGTTACATCTTCGTGTGAGTGTGTGTGCGCGCACCAGTACTGGGGCTTGCACCGAAGGGCTGGGCACTGTCCCCAAGCTTGAGTAAAACTCAAAGCTGGTACTCTTACCACTTGAGCCAACAGCTTCATTCCTGTCTTTTTTGGTAAAGTGTCTTGTAGATTTGTCTGCCTAGGCTGGCTTTTGATTCTCCATCCCTAGCTCTCAGACTCCTGAGTAGCACAGATTATTACAGACATGAGCTGCTGGTGCCGGCTGGTAAATTACATCTTAATGCAAGGTAGACACGCCCCTGTCCTCACTGCCCCTGTCTCCTCAGGCCTTTGCCCATCTCGCTCTCTTATCCAGGCCTATCCTGCCTTCACAGGAAGGGCTAAACCTAGGAAGGTGGGTGGGAGGGAGACGTGGGCAGGAGGGGTCAGAAGCGGATCTACTGGGCACTAGCCTCTCTGTTGGCAACTTCAGTGGAATTTTACGGTTGAACATAGCCTGTGGCTCTGTCCACCAGGCCCCATTTGACCCAAGTCGGAGGACAAGCCTTAACTCCTTCTAGGCCATCTAAGTGCCCACTCCAGTGCAGGAAGACTGGGCCAAGAAGCCAGGAGATGAGCTCACCCATAGACAGACCCTCCAATCAAAGGAACAGCTCAGACAGGTAAAACCAGAGGCGTAAGCAAGACCCGGAGATTTCCTGATCTCTGAGAAGGGGGCCCCACTAGGAGCCTGTACAGCAATCAGGAATAAATACTTAAAAGTTGTAGCCATTCCTGATATAAGCACACACATCCCTGCCCCCAGATGCATGGGGAGATGCCTAGACTTTTGCTCCATTAGGAAAGGAACTCCACCCCTTTCTTTCCAGCACTGAGAAAAGGTTCTAGAAGTTCAAGGTGTGGAAATGAACATCAGCCACCCTTGTGCTAAAGTCACAGGACACCCCCCCATCTAAAGTGGGTAGGCTTGCCAGGGCAGAGGAAGGGGACACTGCCTCTTGGCATGTGCTGGCTTGTCAGAAGAGCTGAGGGATCTCCTGGCCTCTGATCTCAGCAACAGATCTGTCCTGGCTTCAGGCCTTTCCTGGGCTAGTTTAAATCCAGCTCGATTACAAGAAGAGACCCCTCCAGAGGCTGCCTGAAGAGGGTCTGGCCCTGGAGAATTTGACCTTGTCTGAGGCACAGTGGGCCACAGCAGCAACAGACCAGCTCAGCCAAATTGGCAGGAGGGCTACCCTAGTGCCCCCCGCCAACCCACTCACAAGCTCCTGGCAAGAGCTGACCCAGCTTTAAGTATATGGTAGCAGTAGCCAAGTGGAGCCTCCAAAAGAAACGCAGACCCAGACGAGGGCTCATTGGCCTCTCCGAGCCTAAGAGAAAACTCAAGCCCTTTACAGGTTCACTGCACAGACAAGTTCCCAGGAGCCCAGAGACGTGGAGGCCTCTGCGCCCCATTGAGCGGGGCCCTGGGTGCCCACTCCCCCGAGCGCATGCAGGCCCGGAGCGGGGGCGTGGCCAGTCCCCACGCACGCACGTGCACCACGTGCTCAGGTGCTCAGCGCAGCGGTGGAGGCGGAGCTGTGGGAGGCTGTGGGCTGGGGTCAGACCCCGACCAGCTGGGCAGAAGCCACGCCCAGTCTGCAGAACAGACAGTGCGGGCTTGTCGCATTTATCACGTGGATTTCTTCACCCTGCGCGAGGCATCCTGACCGTGGAGGAGTGACTTCAGCATAAAGGTAAGGAAAAATAAATCTGAGTGACACATGCCCTGTCGACAGACGTCCGCAGGAGGACGGGGTGGGGATGTGGCAAGGCCCCACTGTTTTGAACGAAATGTCTAAGCCCTTCGATTTTTGCGGGCGGGGAATTTGCAAGGACTGGAAGGAAGGGTGTGCTGGGCAGAAAGGGCGCAGAGAGAGTGACACACGGGCCGTGGTGCGGGAGCGGGGTACCTGCTGGGTCACTGCGAGGTTTCCTGTGGGAGGGGCCCTCTGAAACAGAGAGAGACATGCCTGCGCGGTCACCGCGGCCGCAGTAACAGCAAAGGCATTGACATCACCCCCGGGCCGAGCTCGCCCCGCATGCGCCGAGCATCCTTCCTGAACCTGGCGCCCGGGCGAAGGGCGGCTGCCCTGACAGACAGAAACCTGCTCCACAAGGCCTTGCTGCCGAGGACCAGCTTCATCCCACTCCATCTTTGTGCAGCAAGGGGCGGCGGCGCCTCAGCCTGCATCTGCGCGACCTGGCGCGCAAGGCCTCGGCTGTCTAGATGGGGCAGGCTCGTGGGGAGAGGGGGCAGTACCCAGGCCCTGGCACACACTTGGGGTCCATATGGGAGCACAGCCGCCCTCCCTGGACCCCTCAGGGCTGGAGCTGCCGGGGGGAGGGGGAGCCACACTGTCCCCCTCCTCCACCTCCGTGTCCCCAGTCGCAGGCTGTCCTCCAAAACCACGTTGCATGGCTTCCTGGCCCACTGCCCAGCGAGGCCGTGCAGCACGGGATGGGCTCCCTCCACCGTCTCAACCACGGCAGCTTCTGTCTGCTGATCACGTGGGCCTTCTCTTTGAGCCCTAGTCCCAATTGCAGGAGTGGGGGGGGGGCAGTACTAGCAAGAGGTCAGCGTTGTACTCTTTGAAGCATATTTAATTTTGTCGCGATCTGTGAGTTGAAGGCAAGGCTGTGTAAATGCCCGGCGCAAACGGTCATAAAATGGTTCATTTCAAAGCCATCGTTAGTGCCGGTGTAAGAGCAGGCCAGACAGACAGACCCCCTGGGGCTTGTGGGGAGAGGGACGGGTGGCAGCGTGGGCCTGGTGATGTGGAGGCCAGGGACAAGGGACGGTGGCAGAGAAGGAAGCGAGGGTGGGTGTGTGGAGTGACTTGGGGAGTGCGGAGGCCCAGGCGGAGGCCGGGCCCTGAGCTCCCAGCCGGCGCGCTGCAGTAGCTAACGGCAGGGCTTGGGTGGAGGGTTGGTTGCCCTGATGGTCAGCTGTGGGGTGCTGGGGGGCGGTGCTGGCCGCGTGGACCGGGGTGGCAGCAGTGGCTGGATTCTCGCACAGTGTTCTGAAGGGAAAGCGGGGTGCCCTCCCCAGCAGCGTAGCTGTGGGGCCAGGGCAGAGGTGCCCCGGAGCCCGGCGTGCGGGCAGTTAGCTGCTGCTGTCCTCGGCATTCGGGTTCCCAGGCGGGGGGCGGGGAGCGCGCGCCTGGGCCGGCGTTAGGGTGGGTGCGCGGACCTGAGTGCGAAGGGCAGGCGTGGTTAGTTCTGGAAAGATACCGGACTGGACAGAGGAGAGGAGAGGACAGAAGCGTTTGGAGCTGAGCTGGTGTGTGCCGTGAGCGGATCCGTGGCTGGCAAGAACCCGCGGGAGACCCAGAGCGGGACAGAGAGCCTTCCAGAAACTCCGCCATGTTGAGGGGGAGAGAGGGTGGGAGCTGTGCAGGGTCCCATGATGGAAAGATCTCAAGATGGAAGACCCTGCTCCCCTCCCTCCTCTTCCCCTCCCTCCTCCCCTCCCTCCTCTCCTACACTTCCACCTTCCTTCCCCTCCCTCCTCCCCCTCCCCTCCCTCCTTCCTTTCTTTTCCATCTCCTTTTACTCATCCTCTTCTCCTCCACTTCTTCCTCTCCTAGCTGCTCCCCATCTTCCCTTCCCCCTACTTCCTCCTGCCCTGTCCCTCATCCTTTTACTCATCCTCATCTCCCTCCTCTTCCAGCCCCTCATCCTTTCCCCTCTACTCTCTCCTCCCTCATCATCCTGCTCATCTTCCTCCTCCCCCACCTCCTCCTCTCTTCTTATCCTTTTATTTCTCCTTCTCCCCATCTTCTTTTTACTCCTCCTCCTCCTCTCCTTTTCTCTCCCCATCTCCTCTCTCCTCCCGTCCCCGGCGGGGTGGGGCGTGGGGCTGGTGGGGGGGGCAGGCCTCACCTGAGCTTGCTCTTGAGCGCGCTCATCTCCCGGCCCATGGCCTCGTTGCTCTCGGTGGCCTCGTCCAGCTCCCGCTGCAGCTTCCTGCGGTTGGCGTTGATGCGCTGGGACTCCTCCTCCGCCTCCTCCAGCTGCCTCTTGAGCTGCTTGACCTTGGTGTTGCCTTTCTCGGCCTGTGCAGGGCAAGTCGGAGGCTCAGCGGGCACCCAGGGGCCGGCCGGGCAGGCGGGCGAGGCGCGGGCCGGGCCGGGCTACCTGCTCCTTGTACTGCTCCGCCATCTTGTGCTCGTCCTCCACCTGCAGCAGTACCTCCTTCAGCTTCTTCTCCTTCTGCTTCAGCGCCTTGGCAGCCGCCTGCTTCTCCCTGCACACAACCAGACAGGGGAGGCGCTTCTGTGAGCACCAACCCTGTGCCCAGGGTGGGACGCGCCCCAGGTCCGGCTCCGCCAGAACGCTCTGTGGTGGGAGACCGTTTAGGACATCTTCATGCGCATACATAATTGCAGTGTGTGTCACAGTTACATGCCCTCTTATTAGTCCTAAATGGTTCTAGAGTTAGTCACGTTCTATGTGTGCGTGTATGTCCATGTCTATGAATGTGTGTGTGTATCTTTTAGAGTGAGCGCCCTGTCTTAACAAGCCGACACGGTGGCACACACCGTCATCCCATCCACATGGTAAGTGGAAATGGCATCACAGTCCTGGCTGGCCCAGACGATAACACAAGACCCTTGGGCTGGGAAGGTGGCGCAGTGGTAGAGCGCTTGCCTTTGCATGCATGAGGCCCTGGGTTCAATTCCTCAGCACCACATAAGCAAAAAGAAAAAAAGCCTGAAGTGGCACTGTGGCTCAAGTGGTAGAGCTCTAGCCTTGAGCACAAAAGCTCAGGTACAGCGTCCAGGCCCTGGGTTCAAGCCCCATGACTTGGGCTGACAGTATGGCCTAAGTGATAGAGCACTTGTCTCATGAGTACAAGGCCCCAAAAGTTCAAACCCCTCTACCTCCATCAAAAACAGAGGAATGACGGGAGGAGGGTGGCTATAGTATGGGCTTCATTTGTTTTTTTAACTAAAATTTTTTCCTTATTTTATGAAAAGCATGAGTAACAAATCAACTTAAGTCTTTTGGAAATGACTTCTACTAAAGATTCATACTGAGCCTAGTCCTTCAGTGACTGTATGAGTTCATCCAGCAGACAGTCTATTCTATGATCCGCTACCCGGTTCTGTGGAAAATTGTATGTTCTTATTTTCTCTGATCTTCCTTTAGTTCCAACCTGGACTTTCCTAGCACTGTATCTTTTATCATTTGTGTTTTATTTTTGTCGGTTGTGTGGCTTGACCTCAGGACCTGTGCTGCCCTGAGTGTTCTCGTTCAAGGTTAGCTAGCACGCTACCATTTTGAGCCACAGTCCCACTTTTGGTTTTCTGGTGGTTCATTGGAGATGAGAGTCTCATGGAACTTCCTGCCCGGGCTGGCTTTGAACCGTGATCCTCAGATCTCAGTTTCCTGAGGAGCTAGAACTACAGGCGTGTGCCTGTGGCATAACTCCAGCTACGGGCTTTATTTTTGAAAGGATGAAAATGTGAAGCCACTGAAGCAAACATAATACATTTTTTTTTTCAGAACTGGGGACTAATACTTGGTAGGCCAGAGCTCTGCCACCTGAGCCAAGCCCCGATCTTCTTGCTTCTAGTGTGTTCTATTCAGACAGTGCCTTACTCTTTGGTCCCACTGGCCTTGGCTTGTGATCCTCCTATCTCCACCTCCCAAGTCGGCAACCACCATGTCCAGCTTGTATGTGACATAGGGTCTCCCTAACTGTTGCCTAGGCTTGCAAAAAAATATACCCAGGTCAGCTGCTTGCAGTGTGCCGGTCATGGGTGTGTGTGTGACGGCGTGCGTGTGCCAGGTGGCGGGAACAAAGCCCCGAGGGCCCCGCACCGCTCACCTGGCCTCCTGCTCCACCTGCTCCTCCAGCTGCGCCACCTTGGCCTCCAGTGCGGCGATGGTGGACTTGAACTTGGACTTGACGGCGCCCTCCATCTCCTGCAGCTTCCCGCGCAGCTCCTTGTTCTGCCGCTCCAGCTGCTGCCGCGCGCTCTCGTTCTTCTGGGCCGCGCTGCGCTCCGTGGCCAGTTCGTTGTTGAGCTGCTCAGCCTGCGTGGGGGGCGCGAGGGGCGGTCACAGAGGGCCGGCGGCTCAGCCTCCTCCCGCTCCTGTAGCCCCCACCGTGACCGCTGGCTCTCAGCTCTTCAGCAACGCCCACGCCGTGCCCTTTGCCCGGACTGGCATCGAACTCACAATCGTCCTGTCTCCACCTCCTGGGTAGCTGGGATTACAGGGGTGTACCACCACACCTGGCTTCCGTGACTGTTCACTGACTGTGCCAGCCTTGCTTAGGAGGGGGCGAGGAACAGGGGCGGGAGCATGCCTAGGCCCTGCGTCTCTAACTTCAGGCCTCCCCCCTCCTCGCAGAGCTGGCCACAGGAGAGAGCCAGGACGCCTTCTCCCGGCCGGAGGCGTCACCTGCTGGGTGGCCTTGCGGACTCGGTCGCTCATGGCCTCCATGTTGCCCTGCTCCTCCTCCAGCTCCTCCTCCAGCTGCGCGATCCGGGCCTCCAGGCGGCGCTTCTCGTCCTGCAGCGTGTTCCTGGGGGACGCGGCCAGCTTGGTCCCTCCTCCCCCGCCGCTGGACGCCCTCCCTCCTCCGATTGGCCTCGTTCTAATTGTGGAGAGGCTCAGACGCCTCATCCAAGGTCCCTGCTAGCAAGAGGAGCCCAGGACCGAGCGGGGACCAGCTCTCCCCTCCCGCCCCCAACACTACTTATTCGGAGTGAATGGGTGTGGCCACGCCTCCAAGCAGGCCCGTGCCTCACGGGGGGTCTGTCCCTACGCCTGGTGACCCGCGCCTCACGGGGGTTCTGTCCCTACGCCTGGAGACCCGTCCCTCACCGGGGGTCTGTCCCTACGCCTGGTAACCCGTCCCTCACCGGGGGTCTGTCCCTACACCTGGTGAGGGAGCTCGGTCAGCCATCAGCACCCACCTGGGGTTCATGTGCACCCCACGAGCTGTCGCCCAGTCCCCTGCACCCCCCATACCTTCCAGATAGGCTGCTGGCCAGCTCCTCGGCCAGCTCCTCCTTCTCCAGGTCAGCCTGCTTCCGCGCGCGCTCGGCCGCCGCCAGGTCCTGTGGCGGAGGAGATGGCTGGCTGTGCCCCATGGAGGGGGGCCCCGACACCCCAACTCTGCACCCCCCCTGCAGTCTCCAGAGACCTTGACATGCAGGTTCCCCTGGGCTCAGGAAGGCTCTGGGGAGGCCCCTCCCCCCTTGGCCTGCTCCGGGGGGACCATGGCATTTGGGGGTGCGCTACCTCCTGGAGCTGCATGAGGTCGGCCTCCAGGCTCTTGGCCTTCTTCTCGTTCTCCTTGGCTGTGGCGAAGATCTCGTCCCTGGAGGCCCGCGCGTCCTCCAGCTCTCGCTGGAAGTCCTTCATCTGAGCCTGCGCGGGACACACGGCGGACACGCCAAGGGCTCCTTACAAGGCCAGTCCTCCGCCACCGCCTCCAGTGCCTGACCGTGGCACCCGCCCACGGCCACACGGTGGAAAGTCACCACCCAACCGGGGCGGGCCTGAGCGCGCAGAGCCCTCCCTGTGGCGCCTGGGATCGAGGCCGCCCCGCGTCCGCCCGCCGTGGGCCACGCACCTGCAGTTTGCGGAGCTGCTTGATGGCCTCCTCCCGCCCCTTGATGGCCGAGTCGGCCTGCAGCTCCAGGTCCTTCAGGTCGCCCTCCAGCTTCTTCCTGGCCGCCGCCGCCAGGGTGCGCTGTTTCCGCTCGTCCTCCAGCTCCGTCTCCAACTCGTGCAGCTGAGCGGGGGAACGGGCAGAGCTGCGGGGCCGCCCTGAGCCACCCACGGGGGAGAGCTCCACGGAGCCCCCGCCGGGGGAGAGGGCTCACCTGTCGCTGCAGCTGCCGCCGCTTCTCCTCGTTCTGCTCGTCCCGCGCCTGCAGGTCCCGCTCGAGCTGGCCCTTGAGGGCCTGCATGTTGACCTCCAGCCGCAGCTTGGCGTCCTCCGTGGCCTGCAGCTCGTCCTCCAGCTCCTCCAGCTGCGTCCGCATCTCCTCCATCTGCGTCTCCAGGGCGCGCTTGGACTTCTCCAGCTCGTGCACCTGTGGGCGCCCCCGCACCCCCCGCAGCGTGAGGCCTCGTCCCCCGAGCGGAAGCCCGGCAGCCTCCACCCGCCGGCCAGCGACTTACGTTCTTGCCCACGTCGTCCTTGGAGCTGACCAGGTCTTCCATCTCGGCTTTGAGCATTTTGTTGGTCCTCTCCAGCTCCTCCTTGGCCTCCAGGGCCTCTTCGAGGGCCCGGGCCAGGGACAGGGCCTTGGTTTCCTTCTCCCTGGCTTCGGCCTCCGCTCGGTCCCTCTCATCCGCGTATTTGGAGGAGATGTTCTTCTCCTCGGCTAACAACTGCAACACGACGCACAGAGGCCTAAGAGGTGCCTGGCCACATCCCCGCCTCCCGGGACCGTTACCTTCTGTGACAAATATTCACCGGAAACCAAACCGGCCTCCAACTCCAATCCTCATGCCTCAGTCTCCGGAGCGAGTGCTGGGATTACAGGCATGCACTACCTACCACACCTGCCTACCAAAGGAGCTCTTGAACTCTAGTCAGTCCTGCTCACGTTGAGATGTGGAGGGAGGGAAATGTACCCACAAGATAAAAAACCATGTGGCTAGCTGGGGCTCTGCCTCCCGGGCGGGCATGGAGTTCTGTCCGTGGTGGGGTCAGGTGGCCGCTGCTCGAGGCTTCCCCTGTGCTGGTTCTACTTAGCTGGGCTTGAGATTTAACATAATAAACGGCCAGGGAAACGCAGGCTAAAGGCCGTCGGCTTTGAGTGTGACCTGCTGCCTCCCTTCCTCCTGGGGGTGAGAAACTGGGGTGGAGCACTGGATTGCTGGGGGCCCCCACGGCGCTGGGGTCTAGAAAAGTCTAGAGGTGTTGCCATGGGGTGGAATGCAGCCCCCCCCAAGCTCCCACCTGGTCAAACTTCTTCTGCTTCTTCTCCAGGTTGGACACCAGCTGCCGCTGGTTGTCCAGGTCCACGGCCAGGTCGTCCAGCTCCTGCTGAAGTCTGTTCTTGGTTTTTTCCAGTTTGTCGTAAGCCGCCGCCTTCTCCTCGTACTGCTGCGTGAGGCCCTCGATCTCCTTCTGGAAGCGCTTCTTGCCCTCCTCCATGGCCTCCACGGTGCTGGCCAGGTCCTGCAGCTTCTTCTTGGAGTCCGAGAGCTGAGAGGGGAGAGAGAGGCCCAGTGGGGGGTGAGGGTGGAGGCCCGGCCCGCCCCCTCCCAGCTCACCCAGGGGGAGGACGGGAGACGGGCGCGGTCACCGCGGGGTCCCGCCAGCAGGGGGCGCACCTGCACGTTCAGCGAGGACACGTGGCGCTCCAGGTTCTGCCGGGCCTCGGTCTCCTCGTCCAGCTGCTCCTGCAAGCTGCTGCGCTCATCCTCCAGCTGCCGCAGCTTGGTGGACACGTTGAGCTTCTGGCGCGTTTCTTCTTGGAGCAGCTCCTATGGGGGGCCGACGCGGAGGTTCCAGGGAACCGGCCCAGCCGGGGCCCCGGGACCTGCCCACCCCCACCCCCACCCCACCCCAGGATGCGGAGCAGCTCACCTGTGTGTCCTGCAGCTGGGACCCAAGGGAGGCCACGTCCTTGGCCAGCTTGATGGCCTTGCCCTCCGCCTCGTTGAGCAGGCTCGTGACGCTCTCTACTTCATTCTGAGGGTGAGGGAGAGCCCGTGAGCGGAAGCGTCTAAAGCGGGGCCCTCACCACGCGAGACAAGCCTCTGCGCCTTCATAGCACAGCACCTGCGGGGGCCGGGGCGGGGGAAGACGCCAGCCCCCGAGGGGTGATGCCCTGTCACACACACCCTTTGCTGCGCTGCGAGCCCCAGCTGGATTGACTGGGCCTGGATCCCAGCAGTGGGGCTGAGCCATGTGCTGAGACGCTGTGCAGAGGATCATGTGAGGGACTCGCAGATGCCCGAGGCTGCGGTGGCCGTGCCCTTTCACCCGCACCCCACAGCCTAAGACGCCAGAGCCTCTGCTGCACAGCGGCCCCCGCCCCGGCCCCCAACACACATTTGCCGCAAGGCTGTGAATGATGGTGGGTAATAAACCTCCACCATCTGCTCACTGCAAGCGCGAAGAACCTTCCTTCCTTCCTTCCTTCCTTCCTTCCTTCCTTCCTTCCTTCCTTCCTTCCTTCCTTCCTTCCT